TCATTCTTGACATGTTTCTGTTGTTGATTGTTGCATGAGCCACACAACTAACTGCCTTGTGCCTCCAGCATTTGGCGTGCTGCTGTGGGAGATCGCCACCTACGGCATGTCCCCCTACCCCGGCATCGACCTGTCCCAAGTTTACGAGCTGCTGGAGAAAGATTACCGCATGGACCGACCAGAGGGCTGCCCCGAGAAGGTCTATGAGCTCATGACAGCCTGTGAGTAGCAAAACTTATCTATCTATATGATTAAAGGCACTCTGTTTTATTGGAAGAACTGTTTTATTTTACTTTTTTTTTTTTTGTCTTCCTGTCAGGTTGGAGGTGGAACCCTTCAGAACGACCATCTTTTGCTGAAACACACCAAGCCTTTGAGACCATGTTCCAGGAGTCCAGCATCTCTGATGGTCGGTGCTGCTTTCTTTTATATCCAAAGCCCCTTTCCTTGTGGGTGTTATTTTACAGATACTGGTTCTTCTGTCGTAGTTATTAAGATGTGGAAAGTCATATTTGGTCGCTTGTAAAAATCTTGACTGTAATTGTATTTTTAGAGGTGGAGAAGGAGTTGGGCAAGAAAGGGAAGAAGGGGACACTAGGCTCCATCCAGCAGGCCCCAGAGCTGCCCACCAAAACCAGAACTCTCCGCAAAAACATGGACAACCGGGATGGAGATAGTCCAGGTGAGATGCACTCGCGCCCACTGCTCCTCAAAAGGAAAGTGCTGTAATTGTAGTAGTTAGTGAAAGTATTCCATTATTCTTTATCGCTGATGATTTTTGGGCTCTTCTTTAGACCCAGTGGAGCCCGAGGCAGCTGTGTCGTCGCCCATGCTCCCCAGGAAAGAGCGCCCCCTCCTGGACAGTAACCTGAATGAGGATGACCGCCTGCTACCCAAAGACAAGGACAAGACACGTGGCTTTCTCAGTCTCATCAAGAAAAAGAAAAAGAACGCACCAGCTCCGCCCAAACGCAGCTCCTCATTCAGAGACATGGATGTCTACCCCGACAGGAGGGGCGCGACTCCAGATCCCCGAGACAGTGACGGCTTCAACAATAGTGCGTCTCTGGCCAGTAATGACGTCACGCATGGCCTCGACTCTGCAAAGTTCCTGAGTACTAACAATAACGGGGCAGGGGGCATCACCAACGGGGCTCCTACCTACCCGGGACCTTTGTTTCCCAGGAAGAAGGGAGCTCCCGCAGTGCCCGGCCCTGGAGGAAAAGCAGCTACTACACCACCCAGCGAGGAGGAATCCATGTCTAACTCCAAGCGTTTTCTCTGGTCCTCCAGCATGCCCACCGGCTCAGATGGCACTGAGTGGAAGTCTGTCACACTGCCACGGGACCTCGGCCAGCGGCACTTTGACTCAGGCACCTTCGGGGGCAAGCCAGCTCTGCCACGCAAGCGAACCAGTGAGCAAAAAGGGGAGAATGCCCCCCGGATGGGCACCCTAACTCCCCCGCCGCGTCTGAACACCTCATCAGATGTTTCCTCTGCCTTCTTAGGCAAAGACACTGATCCAAGTCCTGGTTCCAGTCCCCAGGCATTGACACCCAAGGTGGTCAGGAGACCAGGGGTGCCGGGGCTGGAGAACTCCAAGACCAGCGCTCTCCACGCTGAGCTTCTCAAACCCAATGTGTTTCCTGCTTTAGGGGCGGCCGGAGAAGAGTGCAGGGCCCGCAGACACAAGCACACTGTGGACTCTTCATCTGTTAGGGAAAGAGGAAAGTTACAGAAACCCAAACCGGCCCCACCTCCACCACCCACCAATGCCAAAACGGGCAAGATTTCCCGCAGCCCTACTCAAGAACTTCCCTCCCCCTCATCCACCACCTCAGACATCAAAGCTAAGGGCATCCCCTCAGTCTCAGAGCCCCACCACACAACCACTGCCAGTGACCAAGCCCGCTCACCCCTCAGCGAAGGCTCCAAGAAGCTGCCCTTGGGCTCCATGTCCAAACCTCAACCGTTAAAGACCTCCACCTCCTCCACTTCAGTGACCACCTCCCTCTCCAGCCAGAGCCTCGGCGGCTTCTCTTCCTCCCTGACCTCTCCCGGCGAACAGACCACGGCGACTGCTTTCATCCCCCTAGTGAACACACGCCGCTCCCTCCGCAAGACTGCACCCCGCCAGGCTGCCGAGCGCACCCCCAACTCAGCCGTGACGCGCGAGATGGTGCTGGAAGGCACGGAACTGCTCCGCGCAGCCATTTGCCGCAACTCGGAGCAGACGGGTAGCCACAGCGCCGTGCTGGAGGCCGGCAAGAACCTGTCGAAGTACTGCATGAGCTACGTCGACTCCATACAGCAGATGAGGAACAAGTTTGCCTTTCGCGAGGCCATCAACAAGCTTGAGAACAGCCTGCGTGAGCTGCAAATCTGCCCCACTGCCACGGGGGGCGCCAGTGCACAGCAGGACTTCAGCAAGCTGCTGTCCTCTGTCAAAGAGATCAGTGACATTGTTCAGAGGTAGCGCCATAAAAATCTTACACAACCAAAATATAAAACTGATATGAACTGTATCTTATTCCCCTTTTTCCTGAGCATGCGCATGAACTGCGGTTCATCCCGAGCTCATGTCGGAGATCTGAGGGTAAAGCCTGCGAGAGAGCCGCAGCAGAGTGTCGGGTCTCACACTACAGTACGCTCTGAAACACTTAAGCCTGTGGTTATTGTGGATGGAATCAAAGGAATCTTTCTCTAGATGTCGTCAGACAGAGTTTGCAATATTGAAAAGCCTTAACCATTAATGAACACTATCTTTTGGCCTTAATGAGAGTATAGGAGCCAATTCTTTATCAACATGACCTTTCACCAATCATTTTTGAAATGATCATGTCTTACGTGTTCTCGTGTTTTCCCCTTTTATCAATGACACCAGTAGAAAAAAAGGCCTGTGATATTTGTTTCCATCACTGTCCATGTTTGTTCCATCAATGCTGATGTCAGTGAACAAAAACAAAACACCTAACCTCATCTTGTTCTAGGATGCCTTCTTACACTAAAATGACTGATATCACGGTTTTCCGTTATCACCTGTAAGAATTAGGGAGCGTCCGGAATCACAACCTGATGCTTCTGTCCAACACATCCCAACATTTTCCATTGCTTTGTACCATGTCATCAGTGATCAGTGGTTGTGTGCTGAGTGAAGAAAACGTGTTAGTGTTTGTTCTGTATGAATGCTTTATTTTTTTTGCAGTATTTGCAACCATGTGCCATAAAATAATAATGGGAGCAAGCAAATGAGGCAGAATGAGCCTCTGGCCTTCACCTTTTTGCTTCACTGCACACTTGGGTAACAAATAGTGCCTTGAACACTATTGGCAGATCTGTTTAAGACTTGCCAATTTACAAGTGCAGGAATGTAGTTAGGTTTGTTTTTGTTTTGTTTTTTTGGATTTAAATGTTTGATTGCCATACCAAAAACTTTTGTCTCCAGTCTTTACTGGAGAGGGACCAGGGTGCACGATCTGCAACTCAGTGGATCTGACTGTTGTGTTATGTTGTCCTTAGACTGGACCTTTTTAAAAAAAACAAAAAAAAACACTTTGATTCAACTTTCTCTACATGCCAGTCACAAAAGCCATCAGTAGCAGTTTGGCCGTGCAGCAGCATGCTGTTTTTCTCTGTAAAGAGGGATCATCGACTGAAACAGTGTTTCTCCGACCACTGAAGGGCCTCTTTGCCTGAAAGAATTAGTTTTGATAGAGGGTCCATGTCACATGGTCTAAATGCTGTTTCAAAGGGCCTTTCCACCCCAGCAAAATATATATCTATATATATCCTTGGGGAAACACTGGACTGAAATGTTTGTTTATGCTGTCTTACAAAATAATGTATAAGTGAGAAGCCGATCATTATAGACTAAAAGTACCCACGAAATTCCACTCTAACACCGACCAACGTTCCTTTACGCTCGTCTCTTGGACATTTCCAGTATTTGTGCTGTAGTCGTCTCACCCCACGTGCCGTCTGACTGCGATGCCTGAGGACACAAGTCAACCACAAGCTGCCTTGACTTCAACATGGTACTGTCAGTGTTGGCTCTTTTTGTTTTAATTATTGCTCCCCTTTACCAACCATACCACTACTCTACTTTTGTGTCTAAGCCTCCTCACCAATTTTGTAGACAAACTTTGCTTTTCTTTGTAAATATTTTTTCTTTTTCCTATTTGTTTCTCCCTCTAGCCTTGGTGCAATTTTTGTTGCAATAAAATACAAAGCCGTTGTGCTACTTGAAACACATTATGGAGTGAAGTGCTGTTTCTGTGTGACCTTCTCTTCAGTAAAATAAGTGGCAGTAGTTATTAAACCTGAGAAACCATTTTCTCTATTTCAATTCCAGACTGTTTATTAAAGCCTGTTTCTGTAGAACCAATGACAGATCAAGAAACAGACACACAGCAACAGGTTATGTATAATTTATTTTTTCTGTCTAGAGTTTTGTCATTAAAATCAAAATGTCAACATTTTAAAATCATATACACTCAAGAACGCATTTAAATGTTAGCACAGCTCCTTAAAAATTTATACATATGTACTTTTTTTTTTGTACTTGTGGACAGACAAAAGCAGGAAGTGGTCACTCAGACTGCAAAGAGGTGGGACACAGGAAAAAGGAAGACCCAGCCCACCGACTTCCCACAATAACAAACCAATCCCCACTCCCCAAAAGTTAAGACAGCGATGCAGACCCCTCCCAGGTGGAGGAGCAATGACTGGGTGGGAAAAAAAGAAAACAGAATATAAACATAAGAAGGGCCCCATTCTCCACTCCATACAGAAATGAGGAATAGAAGTTTGCAGACATAAATACTAGTTTGCACATCATCTCAATCCATTTCCTCTCCCCTCAACCAATCGACGGGTTCAGTAGTGTGCAGACAGG